TTTTTTTCATATGCATTATTTCGGTTTTCAACCGAAACTGTGCATATATGCATTATTTCCGTTTTTTTCGTATGCATTATTTCAGTTTTTTTCATATGCATTATTTCGTATGCACAGTTTCCATATGCACAATTTCAGGGTGCCCCCTCCTTTGCAATATTTCCGATTTTAAGCCTTCCTAAAACTCTTTAGTTTGACACCCACATGGCAATATTTCATTTATTTTATGAATTTAACTAAGTTAAAATTTTCAAATAGGTGGCAACCCTCCGCAAAAATGTTTCCAACAGTTATCTTTCTTAAACCTCTTTAATTGGATACCCATATTGTAAAAATTTATTTATTTTAACAATACAATTGGGTTTAAAATTTCGACCTCAAAACTTTTGTGATATCATTGATCCTGGTATTATACCGAACAATACGAAAAAACAATTATTGAACCAAGTTTTATGCTTTTGTGCGTTTATTTTTATATTCAAATTTTTTATCCTAAACATTATTCGACACTTATAAAAGTAGGATTTTACATTTGTTTCCAATTTTATATGTGGACTTAACTCTAACAATTTTGAAATAAAATTTTTTTCATGCGAAATAGTTTTCCATTAAAGACTTTGCTTCGAGCTGTTTTAAATTAAGCTCTTCCATACTTGGTTGCATGGTTTTAATTATTTCGGTAAGAAGAAATATTTCTGTTCTCAACGTGCATTCTAAAGAGTCGCCTGTTTGAGTTTGGACATTAACAAATAATGTATCCTGATCGCGTTCTAAATCCTCACTTGTTTCAGTTATTTCGTATGGCATTGGGACTGCGCCTGAGTATAAACGAGCTCGTTTGAAAGTGCTTGATTCGGGCGGACAACTAAATAAATCACTTTCCTTGAAGTGGTTTTCACAAACGCGAGATGAATCACGTAGTACAACACCATAGCTTTCTTCCCATCGCTGCCGTCTTAATTCGCAACTAGGTGGTTTAAAACATCGCACTATTTTCGTGTTCTGACTTTTATTGCATACAGCGCACCGTTCAAACGTTTTGCTCCGTTTCATCTTGGTTTTCTTACATTAAATATTTAAGAAAAGTCTAACGTATTTACTTATTACCCACGATTGAGAGAATACAAAGGTTGCGCCGATCTCGGACCGCTATTCCTCTCTTAACGAATTTGCCAGAATCGCTGTTTGCATGACGTCACACTGGTGCAACTTGTTTACGTTTTCCTTGCAACATTTTTTCTTCTTCTTCCATTCTTGCTCACGTTTTGGCATTTCTCTCTCGCAATTGCACCAGTGTGACGTCACACACAAGTTATTCTCAAAAATCCTCTCCGATCGGCGCAATCTTGTATTCTATCATTCTTGCTTATTACCCAACTTTAAATGTACTTACTTGCTCTCCTCGGAGGTTTATCTCTTAACAATTTCATATTTATTAAGAAAATTTGTTGCTTGAATAATTTGTGTGTAACTTTTTTTTAAACAAATTCAAATTTGAAAAAAAAAAATTCAAATGGGTTAAGAATTCATTTCAGTTTGACATTATAGCCTGTTTCTTATGAGAGCAATGTCAAAATCAATCACACTTTGTTGAATACGTTTTGCTCCGGATAGTAATTGTGAGTGTTGCCAGGACTTCGAAACTATAAAAGCTAGATCGGCCAAATAAAAAAGCTAAAAGACCAAAAAAGGTTGAAAAAAGGCCAGCCGTTTAAATATCTCATTAACTCTTCTGTACAAAGAGGTGGTACAAATGTACCACCGAGCAACAAAAACGTAAATATCTCGACAACCAAACTACTTACGATCATGAAATTTCACGAAGTTCGTTTAATAAAAACATTTTAATAATAACCCATAGTCCTTATAGACAAAGTAGTGCTACATTTGTACCATCAAATATCTTCATGCATAACAATACGATTACAATCGTGAATGTTTCAATTGGAGCGTGCATAGTGAAGAGAAAACTATATATGTATACACGAAAATGAAGCAGACTAAACGGCGAAGTCGATTTCTATTTGACAAACTGTTTAACTTGCCACGAGTGCTTCAAAGCATACCTTCACCGATTCAAACACGAAGCGGAACCCATATGCGACTACTGCGGAGCAGCATATCTGGCGAGATTTTCACCCCTGAGTCAGCTGTGGAGGCTATGCTACAAAGCAGCGAAAAATGGTCGGCAGCATGTGACACAATAGCAGAGGCCATGAAGGGGCTAAGGACACCCGAATGGCTGCGGCATAGCAGCGGCGACTGACTACCTTTTTCCCTCACGATGTAATGCTTCACATCATTCCCGTACGGTGTGGAGTTCTAAGGAATAAAATGCTTTTCCTGGTTTCATAGGGACACTTGAAAAACTGTTAAAGTATAAACAGAACGAGTTCGCTGAGAAAATTTCGTCGGACGGAGCGATGCCGAGGGTGATATTCGCTTAACATTTCGTCAAGTAAAACTGAACCGGAACAATAATTTAGTGCTATTACAAATATTATAGAGGATTGTCTTTAAAAAAATGCTAGTTTGAAAACAAGAAATGGTTAGAAAAATGTCACGAAGCTAAATCCTAAATTTCGAAGCTGAACGAAAAAAGCCAAATCTAGCCTCAAAAAGGCTAAACTGGCAACACTGCCAATCGTACACAAACCACTATCGGCTTATCAAAAGAGAGACAAGTCTGGATTTATTTCTGTTTTGTTGTTTTTTGATAAAGAAATGCGATAGACTTACTTTTGCATTACGTACAAGTGTTCAAATAATTTTCTTATATGTGCATATGTATGCATGTATGTATGTTTGTATGTACATATGTATGTATTTATGAAAATAAATTAAAAAACTGCTTAAACTTAATAAGGTACGGTCATTTCCACAGATGTTATTTGATGGTGCTTGTTATTGGCCACATTTACAGCTGGAACCGCAACCGCAACTGCCGCTTTGAGTTCCTGAGCCGCATTTGCAAGCTAAAAACAATAAATACAAATTTATGTAAAATTTATAATTTTATAATACTAGAAAACATAAGATTTGAGAAGCGGACGAGTGTATTTAACATAAATCAATTGATCAATAAGCTACATACCACTTCCACAGGGACAGCATTTGCAGGCCGAACCGCAACCACAATTGCCAGTCTTAGGCTCTGAGCCGCATTTGCATCCTAAAATTATGAACAAAACAAAAAAAAAACATTATTCATAAGAAATTTGATATTCAGATAAAATGGTTTAAGTACATAGTAGAAGGTAATAGAAGAAAACTAGAATTTAAACCAAATAGCTAATAAACTATTAACCGAGCTAAAGGCCAGTGTGCAGCTCT